AGTCACATTCATAAAATGGGATTCACTTATAAAATGTCACTTGTAAAAGCTCTGTGTGGCTGCAGCTTCCTTGTGGAGTATTGGATAAATTCCATATCTGTAGCAAAAAAAAAGACAAGGCGCACCAACACCTAAGTGTAGATATATGGATACAATGATGGAAATAAGTATTTGATCCCCTGCTGCTTTTGAATGTTTGCCCACTCACAAAGAAATTATCAGTCCAAACATTGAATGGTAGGTGTATTGTAACACTGAGAGACAGAATAGCAACAAAAAACTCAAAAGAAATGCATGTCTAACAAATTATGCACTGATTGGCATGTTCATGAGGGAATAGGTATTTGATCCCCTATCATTCAGCAGGATTTCTAGCTACCAGGTGTCTTTCAGACAGGTAACAAGCTGAGATTAGAAGTAGTCTCTTAAAGGGAGTGCTGATAATCTCATTTTGTTACCTGTATAAAAGACACCTGTCCACAGGAGCAATCAAACAATCAGATTCCAAACTCTCCACCATGGCAAAGACCAAAGAGCTGTACATGGATGTCAGGGACAAGATTGTAGACCTACACAAGGCTGGACTAGACTACAAAACTATTGGCAAGCAGCTTGGTGAGAAGGTGACAACAGTTGGTACAATCATTCGCATATGGAAGAAACACAAAACAACTGTCAGTCTCCCTAGGTCTGGTGCACCATGCAAGATCTCACCTCGTGGAGTGTCAATGATAATGAAAACAGTGAGGAATTATTCCAGAACTACACGTGAGGATCTGTCAATGATCTCCAGGCAGCTGGGACTACAGTCAGCAAGAAAACAATCGTTGACACACACGCCGACAAGGATTGAAATCCTGCAGTGCCCGCAAATTCCCTCTGCTCAAGAAAGCACATGTTCAGGCCCATCTGAAGTTTGCCAATGAACATCTGAATGATGCAGAGGAGGACTGGTTGGAAGTGTTGTGGTCAGATGAGACCAAAATCGAGTTCTTTGGCTTCAACTCAACTTGCCGTGTTTGGAGGAGGAGGAATGCTGCCTATGACCCAAAGAACACCACTTTGGGGGTGTTTTTCTGCTAAGGGGACAGGACAACTACACCACATCAAAGGGACGATGGACAGGGCAATGTACTATTAAATCTTGGGTGAGAACCTTCTTCCCTCAGCCAGGGCATTGAAAATGGTTCGTGGATGGATGTTCCAGCATGACAATGACCCAAAACACACGGCCAAGGCAACAAAGGAGTGGCTCAAGAAGGAGTACATTAAGGTCCTGGAGTGGCCTAGCCCAGTGGTGGGCAACCTTTTTTTTTTCAACTGAGCCAAATCTCGCCAAAACCACGATTGAAATTTATTTTGAGAGCCACATTTTTAAAACTGAAAATACATCCCCATATAGTAATTCATCCCCCATAGTAATTCATCCCCCATATAGTAATTCATCCCCCATAGTAATTAATCCCCCATATAGTAATTCATCCCCCATATAGTAATTCATCCCCCATAGTAATTAATCCCCCATATAGTAATTCATCCCCCATAGTAATTCATCCCCCATAGTAATTCATCCCCCATATAGTAATTCATCCCCCATATATTAATACATCCCCCATAGTAATTCATCCCCCATATAGTAATTCATCCCCCATATAGTAATTCATACTCCATAGTAATTCATCCCCCATATAGTAATTCATCCCCCATAGTAATTCATCCCCCATATAGTAATTCATCCCCCATATAGTAATTCATCCCCCCTATAGTAATTCATCCCCCATATAGTAATTCATCCCCCATATAGTAATTCATTCCCCATATTGTGTCAATTCACTTACCTTTGCTCCGCGCGTTCCTCTCGCCATGTTCCCGCGCCGTTCTGGTCTTCAGGGCAGACCGTGAGAGGAGAGGAGTTCGTCACGCTGCCCCGCCTACATGCTGGCTGCCCCGCCTACATCCTGACAGCTGCAGAGTCCGCTCCCCTCCTCCTCTTGGGCGGCCGCCCCCCTCCCTCCTCTCGGGCGGCCGCCCAAGAGGAGGGAGGGGAGCGGGCGCCCGGCACACAGAAGAGCCGCATTTAAGTTTGTAAAGAGCCGCATGTGGCTCGCGAGCCGCGGCTTGCCGACCACTAGCCTAGCCAGTCTCCAGACCTTAATCTGATTGAAAATCTGTGGAGGGAGCTGAAAGTTTGAGTTGCCAAGCGTCAGCCACCAAACCAAAGACTTCGAGAGGATCTGCCAAGAGGAGTGGGCCAAAATCTCTCCTGAGATGTGTGCAAACCTGGTGGCCAACTACAGGAAACATCTGACCTCTGTGATTGCCAACAAGGGATTTGCCACCAAGTACTATGTTTTGGTGTGAAGGGGATCAAATACTTATTTTCCTCATGAACATGTAAATCATCGCATAATTTGTTAGACATGTATGTCTTTTGAATTTGTTGTTGCTATTCTGTCTCTCAGTGTTACAATACACCTACCATTCGATTTTTAGACCGATCATTTCTTTGTGAGTGGGCAAACATTCAAAATCAGCAGAGGATCAAATATTCATTTCCTTCACTGTAAATGACAAGCTGAATTAAAAATGCACTCACATTTATTGGAAAATTTAAAGGATAAGCTCACCTTTTTGCTAAAAAATAATAAACGCACATTTTTTACATGTAAAAAAATGTGCATTTAATATTTTTTGTTGCAGGAACTTATAAACCATTACAACAGCAATCAGCAGATTGCTGGTGTCATAAGTACCATAAATAAGGTATATTTCAGTTTTTTTGTGCCTGCTATGTGATATACCAAGACAACAATCTATCAAGTTTTAAAGTGATTGTAAAGGTTTTTTTTTAATATAATAAACATGCTATACTTGCCTGCTCTGTGTAGTGGTTTTGCACAGGGCAGCCCCAATCCTCCTGTTCTGGGGTCCCCCGCCAGAGCTCTCTGCTGCTTCTCTTTCTCCAAGTGCCACCATAAGAAGCCGCTTTCTGTGGTGGCACTCGTGGAGGCTCGATCCCGAGCTACACTGTGGGTGTCCAGTGACACACACACAGTACAGCTTGGGCCCGCCCCCTGATCCCCATCACAGGATTTGATTGACTGCAGCAGCAATGGTTCCTGCTTCTCTCATGGAGTCCAATGAGGAAGGAGTGTGGGAGCAGTGCCAGATCGAGATCAGACTCAGGTAAGTCTTTGGGAGGGCTGGGGGGGTTTACCCTAATGCAATGACTGGACTGGACCGGGTTAGGCTGAGAAGCTGCAACTGACATTGAGAAGCCAGGTGTCCTGTGAGTGGCAGACTGGTGGAGACCTGTTTGCCGCAAGATCATGAAAGTCATCATCATCACAGCTGCATCTTCAAAGAACAAGGCGGGCCCCCCAGCCGGATGCTCATTGCTCCACCCTACATTACACAAGGACCGAGTGAGAGGGTTCCTGACCCACCTAACACTACTCTTGTTGCAGACGTTTATTGTCATCCAAATTCAGAGGGTTTGAATGGTCCCATAGTCTTGTGGGACCTGTCACGTGTCCCAGAAGACTACGGGTAAGAAGAGGGAAAACTTTGCTTCCAATCACCTGGGTGATCGCAGCAGAACTGGTGGCGGGTACCTGTCAAAATCGGGTACCCCCTTCCCAAAGGTGCCAATTCCTCATTGGGAGCAGGGGACCAGTACTTAGTGGAATTTTCCCCTATGTATTCACCGCATATTAAGGGGAACTCTACAAATCACTTTGCCGCCACAAAAGGGAACTACCTGTTTCATCACATCTTAAAGGGAGTACACCTTTCACTGCATGCCAGCTTAAGGGCCCCAACTGAGTCGGCAGAAGAACCAACCCGATAGTGTCTGTGTGTATGGGATTTTACAAACTTCCTAGTGCTTAAGCCTAGACCAGGGGTGTCAAACTGGCGGCCCTCCAGCTGTTGTGAAGCTGCAAGTCCCATCATGCTTCTGCCTTTGGGAGTCATGCTTATAACTGTCAGTCTTGCAATGCCTCATGGGACTTGTAGTTTGGCAACAGCTGGAGTGCCACCAGTTTGACACCCGTGGCCTAGACCCTTTTGACTGAGGGCCTACAAGTGAGTTTGCCTTAGTTTCTTGCTACTGTTTCCCATCTCACTCGGGGAGTATCTCCCAGGATGAGAGCTATTGTTTTATATTCTCAGCCCTACAGGACAGGTGGGCACACCTGAAAGGGGTATTGTACTGTATTGCATTGTTCCTGTGCTGAAACAAGTTGTCTATTGTTAACCTTTGTCAATTTTTGTATTACCTACCGTTAACTTTATTAATCTCAATGCAACCTACACATTTATTTTATAACAATGTGCATATTTTCCTTGTGTGACAGCCAGGAGACTCCTGGCCAGGGTTATTTGGTGGTGTCAGCAGGGTTGGAAGTCTGTCCAGGGCCCAGTGAGAAACAGAGGAACCAACTATACTAGCGGCTCCTGCAAGGGTAGCGCTACAGCGATAAATCTGTAACCATTTTAACCCAGGTTGGATCATTGGGGGCAAAGGAGCATTCCAAAGGAGCATACACAATGATAGGCTATGACGTTCTTAGCTGTGTAAATAACAGGTCATTGGATTCCTCAGGGAGAGTGGTTTTGGGAGAATTAAAGAATGGGAAACCAGATTTAAAAGGGATCCTGTGGCTTGTGCATTCAGAGGAATTTATTGAATACTCGTATAAACAAGACGGTGTAGATATTTAGAAAGAATAGTGAGATTGCACACAGACCGGAAGTTGGAATAGAGAGATGAGGGTATGGCAGTGTTCTAATGGGTAAGTAAAGCTAGTCCAATGCCAGAGGGGCAGATAGCAGAGGAGGTATGAAAGAATAAGGTCCAACGAGCAGGACAGGCAGGTTGGTACGCATGGTATGGCAAGTATACAGGATGACTGAATGCCACACATTGAGATCAACTATAACTACATTTGCCTTGTGGCTTACAGCTATTGGATCAATGGATTCTATTTTTTGTTTACAGGATATAATGTAACCGTGCTGGTAAGGGACCCTGCTCGCCTGCCCGCTGATAAGAAACCCACCCGAACCATAGTAGGGGATGTGATGAATAAAAGTGACGTCAACAAAGCAGTAGAAGGACAGGATGCGGTGATTATTGTCCTGGGAACAAGAAATGACCTAGGTAAGGTTTTCTATGCTGGGAGGCTGATTCCTTCCAAAGTTATAATGACTGTGTTTGTTTCAATAGTTCCACTTCATTAACAGCTGGTATGCTCAGGGATCATCACTACACATTTTAGCTTTGACTTTTGAATAGATGTGGTACTAAGCCTCACCCCAATAATTTAATGGCACAAAGTAAGCTTCTGTTGGCCAAAAAAGGCTTCCACTTTGGTCCATTGAATGGCAAGGGGAGGTGGGGGATGGTATTTCATGGGTTGGTTCTATTTCCAGTACTATGTGGAGTGTGGACCAGAGGCTCCCCAGGCCCACTGACAATTAGCTAAGGATTAAAGTGATTTTAATGGCTTATGTTTTTTTAACAATCTATAACAAATATGTCTATACTTACCTGCTGTGTGCAGTGGTTTTGCACAGAGCAGTCTGAATCCTATTCTTCTCGGGTCCCCCACAGGTTCTTCGGGCCCCTCCCTCCTGTCAGGTGCCCCCCCGCAGCAAGCAGCTTGTGTTATTCACATTTGGCCCCGCCCCCTCTCTCCTCATTGGCTCACTGGCTGTGATTGACAGCAGTAGGAGCCAATGGCTCTCATTTCTGTATCACCCAATGAAAGGAGGGAGACCCAGGATAGCCGGGACTCCAATGCACATCGCTGGATCGAGAGGAGGCTTGGGTAAGTATTAGGGGGGCTGGGGTTGATGCTGCACATGGATGGTTTTTTACCTTCATGCATAGAACTTTAACTAGCAAACTTTTAGATCAGCCTTTCTCAACTTATATGACACAAAGGAACACTTGAAATAACTTACCGGTCCAGGGAGCCCCTGCTAAAAATGAATATATCTACAAGTCATGATACATTAGTGTGATGGTCAGTGGGAAGAATGCTCCTTACACTTGAGGCCATTGGGAAGAATTAACCCCTTAAAGATGGCTAAAAAGATCAATGGAGTCAGTGAGAACCTAAGTCTGAATCTGAGACAAAAATTGTTCATTGCTCAAGGAACCCCTAGCAACCTCTGGAGGAACCCTAGGGTTCCATGGAACCTCGGTGGAGATGCCCTGTTTTAGATATTTCACGTATTGTGCGGATCCGCAGCGGCACCACCTGCACATATGTGAACCTAGCCTTATTGTTTTTTTGATTATTTAAGTCCCTAAGTTTGCCCGATGATGCTGCTTTTTAGGGTTCGTTCTCACCATATGAGTTTTTCCACACTTGATCATCCCAGGTCACTGTAGGGATACATAGAATTTTCTATGTGCCTCCGTTCAGCCAACATGCTGCATAAATGTGCATCACAGTACTTTGTGTTAAATTGCAACCTGTCTGCGTTATATTGCACAAGAATGCATATCAATGCAACGCAACTGAGAGGAAAGATGTAAAAAAATTGTGATTAGTATTTTAACTTCTTGTGACCTGTCATTTCCTAATGGAGGACATGAAAATGGGTGCAAACGAAATGTAACGCAATACAAATGTATTTTCAATGCATTGTGGTGAGTTTTTATGTGCAGTATGGTGTAAATGGACCCTAAAGCCTAGTACACACAGGTCGAATGTCTGGCGGCATCGGCTGGTTAATAGAAACCGGCCAACATTCGGCCCGTGTGTAGGACAGCTGATCCGATAGAAGCCAGCCATTCAGCCGACATGGCCCTTTTGACATCGAAGGGCCATGTCAAAACACAATGGCAGAATGGGGGAGATCGTTGCACTAACGTAATTGGTACAGCAGATCCTCCTGAGTTGTCAGGTTTTTTGTACGGTTTACTAGACTTAAGGCTACGTTCACATCTATTAAATTTTTTATTTTTTTTAGTGCTTTTTGCAGATCCACATCCATTTAACCTTCTTTCCTATGGGTCCTATTCACATCTATGCAGTTTCCTGCAAAGCGCTTTTTGGAAAGGTGCAGCGACTTTTTACACACAGCGTGGTGCACTTTTGGCTCCATAGACTTCGATGGAGTTGCATAAAACACGTATGAAAAATGCATGTACATGCGTTTTTTGGAGTGTCTTCCTGCATGGCAACAGACACCTGGTAGCAACATCAACACTTCCCAAAAAATGCAAAATGCATTAAAAACGCATCCAAAATGTACATGAAAAAACACTCCACATAAATGCATCAAGTGCACATGCATAGATGTGAACCTAGCCTAGGTCTCAGTGTTCATTTTTTGTGAGTTTCTTTGCATTCCTGCACATCTTGTTTAGGGCAGCATTTGTTTCAGTGAGCTACTCTCTGCATGAGAAACACACAAAAGAAGCCTCTGACCCTTTTTAAAAACACACTGCACCAAATCACGTTGTACATTGTCACTGCGTTTTGGCTTGCATGCTTTAAGAATGAATGGCACCGCCATGCTCCTGCAAAAGGGCTTCATGTTTTTGTGCATTTTGTGTTTTCATACATTTTGTGTTTTTCATACATTTCTGCAACAGGCAAGTGTGAATGTAGCCTTATTGTTTACTATTTAGAGAAGGTTGACATGGGCAGCACAGTGGCTAAATGGTTATCACTTCTGCCTGGCAGTACTAGGTTCGGTTCAAATCCCAACCACGGCACCACCTGCCTGAAGTTTGCATGTTCTCCCCGTGCCTGTGTGGGCTTCCTCTGGGTACTCCAGTTTCCTCCCACACTCCAAAAACATGCTGTTAGGTAAAATGTCTCCTTTCTAAATTGGCCCTAGTATGTGTATGTATGAATGTAAGTTAGGAACCTTTGATTGTACATCCCATGAGGGTTAGGGACTGATGTGAATGATTTTATATATATATATATATATATATAATATATATATATATATATGTATGTATGTGTAAATTGACAACACTATATAAGAACCTGTAATAAATACATAATAAGGAAATGCGAACGCAGTGTTGCTGCTTAGGTTCGGTGTCAGTAGGCTGTGCTTCCAGTAGGGGGAGCCATTGTTTCATCTACACTATTCCTTCTACTGGAGATTCATCTAGAACTGTAGAGCACTAATGGAGGGATCTGTTTGCATTTGTAATGATATAATATGGAGATGAAGTTGGTAGTTTACTATAGTGCTACGACTAAAACCAGGCGAGCAACAGACTGCTTGAATTAAACCATGGCTTTTCCCAATGGCCTAATTGACATTATAGCTATACATACCTTTTCAGTCTCTTCCAAGTGCCCCAAACCCGAATGTCTCAATGTGCTATTGATCACACACCGTTTTTGGAAGGCTCCCACAGCAGGTGATGGGCTTTTTTTGTTTTTTTTTCTTCCCTGGTTCAGACCTTCTCATGACATAATTGACCACACACAGGAATTCAATTTCTAACCTCTTCACATGTACCTGGTAGATTCATCATACAAAGGTTTTTCTTATGTTATTATTGCAGATCCAAATCATTTTTACAAATGTCTTTTGAGTCCAGTTTAACATTTCATAAACTTGTCATTAAAGGACCGACCACCATGATGTCAGAAGGAACTCGGAATATTGTGGAGGCGATGAAAGAGCATGGAATTCGCAAAGTGGTGGGATGCATGTCTTGTGAGTAATAGACTTATGATTTTCTGCTGATAATATTCATGGTGACATTCTGGAATTAGCAGAATACACAAAGTACAGATACAGTATTTTGCCAAAAGTATTGGTCGGCCGGCCGGCCTTTACACGCACATGAACTTTAATGGCATCCCAGTCTTAGTCCGTAGTTTTCAATATTGAGTTGGCCCCGCCCTTTGCACCTATAACAGCTTCAACTCTTCTGAGAAGGCTGTCCACAAGGTTTAGGAGGGTGTCTATGGGAAGGTTTGACCATTCTTCAAGAAGTCTTCCATTTGTGAGGTCAGGCATAGATGTCGGTGGAGAAGGCCTGGCTCGCATTCTCCGCTCTAATTCATCCTAAAGGTGTTCTATGGGGTTGAGGTCAGGACTCTGTGCAGGACAGTCAAGTTCCTCCTTCCAAACTCGCTCATCCATGTCTTCATGGACCTTGCTTTGTGCATTGGTGCGCAGTCATGTTGGAACAGGAAGGGGCCATCCCCAAACTGTTCCCACAAAGTTGGGAGCATGAAATTGTCCAAAATGTCTTGGTATGCTGACGCCTTAAGAGGTCTCTTGACTGGAACTAGGGGGCCAAGCCCAGCCCCTGAAAAACAACCCCACACCATAATCCCCCCTCCACTAAACTTTACACTTGGTACAATGCAGTCAGGCAAGTACCGCTCTCCTGGCAACCACCAATTCCCAGACATGTCTATCCAATTGCCAGACAGAGAAGCGTGATTGGTCACTCCAGAGAACACGTTTCCACTGCTTTGGAGTCCAGTGGCGGCATGCTTTACACCACTGCATCCGACACTTTGCATTGCACTTGGTGATGTAAGGCTTGGATGCAGCTGCTCGGCCATGGAAACTCATTCCATGAAGCTCTCTACGCTCTGTTGTGCTAAGAGCACACGAAGTTTGGAGGTCTTTAGCTACTTCTGCACACTGCGCTTCAGCATGCACTGACCCAGCTTTGTCATTTTACGTGGCCTACCACTCCCTGGCTGAGTTGCTGTTGTTCCCAGTTGCTTCTACTTTGTTATAATCCCATTAACAGTTGATCGTAGAATATTTAGTAGCCAGGAAATGTCATGGATGGACTTATTACACAGGTGGCAACCTATCACGGTACCACGCTTGGAGTCACTGAGCTCCTGAGAGCGACCCATTCTTTCACAAATGTTTGTAGAAGCAGTCTGTATGCCTAGGTGTTTGATTTTATACACCTGTGGCCATAGAGTTGATTGGAACACCTGAATCCAATGATTTGGGGGGGGGCCCAATACTTTTGGTATTATAGTGTATGTCTGCAGACCCAAGGAGTATGGGAATTGTTATGAAAGCTACCCATAGACTTTAAATAGCTTTTGATTGTGTAGATACGATATGACCACCCTGAAGACAAGCCATCTCTACAGCACTCTATATACTTGTATGGTGAACTTGCCCAAGGTTCTGTGTTGTGACACTGCAGAGCGGACAGGGCAGGAGAGTGGGAAGCTGCATGGGCATTATCGGCAAGAGAAGTAAAATGCTTGTTTCCTCCATATATTGTCCTAGAGATAGTCGCCCCATCCAATGATGGGGTCATGCAATACACGAATAGAGCTTTCGTTTGGTGATATTTGATAACCACTGGGTTTTTAATTTTTTATTATATAATTGAAAAAAGACCAAATATTTTGGGGGAAAAACATTTTCTACAGTTTGTTATTAACATATCCAATAAACGAAAAAAAAAAAATCAAACTTCTTCATAAATTTAGGCCAAAATGTATTTTGCTACATGTCTTTGGTAAAACATATTCCAATAAGTGAATTCTAATTGGTTTTGCGTGAATATATAGTGTCTACAAAAACTATGGTATAATCACTGGAATTTATGCAGCTATAGATGCTATACTGGTAATGGCGGTGATCAGCAACTCATAGTGGGACTGTAATTGGGTGGCGGGCAATCTGGCAATAACAGACAGTGGCTGATGTCACTAATGACAGTAATACAATGATAATACTGTACACTGGCACTGTACTAATGACATTGGTTGAGAAGGGGTTAAAGCTGAGTTCCACCCAAAAGTGAAAGCTCTGCTTGCTTGTTTCTTCCCCTACCCCCCCTCCACTGCCATATTTGGCGCCTTTTGGGGGGGGAGGGCGGAGCAGATACCTGGTTTTGACAGGTACTCGCTCCCACATCCGTCTTACTTTGCTGCGGTGAAATGAGCCAGAAGTTCAGCCCCCTCCTTCCTCCCGCAGTCTTCTTCACAGGTTCCAGAAGACTGCCGGACCAATCAGAATGCACAGTGTGACTCGCACATGCGCAGTGGGCTACTGGCTGTGAAGCCGCAAGCTGGCACAGCCTGGTGCCCACAGTTGAGATGCCGGCGCTGTGGAGAGAAGGGACGGCGCAGGTGAGTATATCGCTGGATCCTGGGACAGGTAAGTTTGTGTTTAATAAAAGTCAGCAGCTGCAGTTTTGTTTTGTAGCTGCTGACGTTTAATATACACAAAACTGACTGGAAATCAACTTTAACATCTAGGGGCAATCAAGGGATTACCTGTGTGCCCAACAATGTGTAGTGTGTGCTGCTTTTACTTTCTGATCTGGCGGTTTTTTCTCCCTGCATTTCAGGGAGAAGAAGCAACTAAATCACTGTTCCCTGTACACAGTTCTGTGTTTTTGTAAACATAGAACTCTGTGATTGGACACAGCCGATCAGCAGGTTTCAGCCGAAATCATTGGCTGAAATCTGCTGCGAAACGTGCTGTGTCCAATTCTGGAAGAAGGCTGTCACGTACGTGTATGTAATTGTGCCTGTACCTGCCGTCCGCTCGCAGTGTATTTTACTGTGAACGGTTGTCTGGTGTTTAAGTGAATAACCTTGATTATCTCATTATACTGGCATTTGAAAGTCGGTGGGATATATTAGGCAGCAAGTAAACATGTTGTCCTTGAAATTGATGTGTTGAAAGCATTAAAAATGGACATTGCAGTTTTTAGTGTGTATGGGGCGGTGTAGCAGTAAACCGGTCAGGGCACCCATGCTAACCCTTGTCCACAGCCAAAAGTGCCGAAAAAGGGGCACATGAGCATCAGAACTGGACTATGGATCAATGGAAGAAGGTGGCCTGATTTGATGAATCGTATTTTTTTTTTTTTTTACATCATGTGGATGTCCAGGTGCATATGCATCACTTACCTTACACAGATGGCACCAGGATGCAGTATGGGAAAAAGACAAATGGGCAGAGATAGCGCGATGTTTTGGGCAATGTTCTGCTGGAAAACCTTTGGTCCCGCCGTTCAAGTGGATATTACTTGACACGTACCACCTACCTAACTACACCTCTTCATGCAAACTGCATTCCCTGACGGCATTCCTTTCAGCAGGATAATTCACCCTGCAACACTGAAAAAAGGTTCAAGAATGGTTTGAGGAACACAACAATGAGTTTCAGGTGGGTCCTGGGCTCCAAATTCTCCGGATCTCAGTCCAATCAAACATCTGTGGGATGTGCTGGAAAAAAAAAGTCCAATCCATGGAGGCCCCACATTGCAGTCTCCAGGAATTAAAGGATCTTCTAGTGATGGCTTGGTGCCAGATACCATAGCATACCTTCAGAGGTCTAGTGATGTCCGTGCTGCAATGAGTCAGGGCTGTTTGGGCAGCAAAAGGGGGACCTGCTCAATATTAGGTGGGTGATCATAAAGTTACGGCTGATCGGTGTACATTATCCGGAACAGGTCTGGTAGACATGTGATTGTCACTCCTGTCCAGTGACTGTTATCCAATGTATTGTACTGCAGAGGTATCATAGACATGAGATTATTGCCCCATCTAGTGATTATCATCCCATGTCTGTGCATAGCAGAAGACAAAGAAAAAATGCAGGTGAACCATCAATCAATATCTCATACTTATGCCCCCCCCCCCAAAAAAAAAAAACTAAACTGGTAGTGTTCCATAGTTGAGGTACTCTTCTTCTCTCTCTGCCAGTGGCTATGGTTTCATTCAGAATGTATCTTACCATGGGCCCTTTGTAACAGTCCTGTGATGCAATTCTAGGTTTTGGTGTAATCCACATTGGCCAATTTAGATGATGTCTACTCTAGAAACACAACTACTGGATTCTTTCCCCTCTTCAGTCTTTCATGAATGTTGCTGCCAGACTCTACCACCTTTCCAAACGTTCAGCATCCACCACCTCTCTGCCAATCCCTCAAATGGGTTCCACTTGCCCAATTTAATATATTTCAAAATACTAACAACAACCTACAAAGCAGTCCACTACTCTGCCCTGAGCTACAGTACACCACCAACCTTGCCTAAATGTATCACCCAAACCTTCTAAGACCTCTTGCTCTTCAGCTCCCTTGTAACTTTTCCCATGCTTACCTCCAAGACTTCTAGAGAGCCTCCCCCATCCTCTGGAATTCCCTGCCCTATTCTGTCTGGCTATCACCTCTTCTGTCTATCGTTTAGGTGATCCCGGAAAACTCCTTCCTTCAGGTTAGCCTATCCTACGTTCACCTAATGACTGAACTTTTACTTTCTCTTTCCCCATAAACTCATCCTCAGACAGTTATTACCTTCTGTACCACTAGTCCCTCCATTTTGGATGGTAAGCTCTCATGAGCAGGGCCCTCCTAACCCCATTGGCTTGAGTTGTATTGTAACTGTACTGCCCCCTTGTTTTTTTTAAAGCCCTACATAAACTGTTGGCCCTGTAAAATTCTGCTTCATAAAAAAAATTTGGTTGTTAAAGCGCGTACATCTGCTTCCATCCCATGAGGTTCAATTTCCCATGTTTTTATTGTGACTGTTATGCTGGGGTACTCCACCTGCCCTGTGGCCCCCATTATTCCATTTATTTAATCAAGAAAATGTTCCTTGTATCCTGGACCAAAAATGAACACTTGTGTTTTCCTGTATTAGCTGAATACTCCCTGGTGCTGGAGGCAGAAGGTGTGCTGAGCCAAACGGATCAATATACAGCAGCACTAATGCAGACACTCTAGACAGAATGCAGACTGCGGCTTCTGTCTGCAACGAAGCTTCAACCCTTAGTCTCCGAAACAACGGTCACCCCCTCTAAGCAGAATTCAATTATTTCTATTTTTTTTATAGCGCTGACAATTTATGCAGTGCTTGTACATATTGTACATTCACATCAGACTATGTACCCCAGATTCACAGAGACAAGTAATGGTCGCATGATCTGGACTTGCACCGTCATTTCGGAAAGCGACGCTCTGTGTTTGGACATTTTGGAGTCAATTCACAAAGAGTTCAAGAACGACTGAAAAAATGCAGTAAAATAACGCATGCGGTAAATCTTTTTCAGATGCGCAATTCACGAAGAATTTTGCAGTAAAAAAAACTCTTGCGGCAAAATATCGTTCTTTTTCATGCAGTAATTTATCATACGGTAGCTGGTTGTTAAGGAAGCCGGCTGCCATGTCCTTAAAGGGTGACTCCTCAGCTGTCAGTTGGTTTCCTGTAAACAAAACATGGCGTCAATTACCAGACTTTTGGACCTGGCATGGATTTTAAGGAAAACTCCACACCAAAATTAAAAAACAAAACAAAAAAGTGGTCCTTCGGGTCTGATATTGATTTTTGGGTCCCCCCAAATCAATACCAGACCGGAAGGGCATGGTATGGATTGGGGGGGGGGATTCCCACACTGCATCTGAAAAAATACTGCATGTGATACCACCAGAAAAACCCTGGTGATAAATATTGCATCTTTTTTTATTATTATTATTATTATTATTATACAGGATTTATATAGCGCCAACAGTTTGCTCAGCGCTTTACAATATAACGGGAGACATTACAGCAACAATACAGTTCAATACAAGAGGGTTAAGGATGGCCTGATCCTGGGAGCTTACAATCTAAGATTACTTTCTGTTCTGTTTGTGAATTGGACTTAACAACTTGCCGCGTGTTTTTTTGCAATATTTACCAACACATATTTCATTCTGCGTTAAATACCGCACAATCTTCTTCTTTTTTTTTTTGTGTGTGAATTCGACATTTTTTTACCGCATTTGATAATTTATGCAAATTAGTCATGTGACCATGTTATCACATGCGGCACCCTTTAGTGAATTTACCCCTATATCATCTGTGAGGTCATCCCCCTGGCCAGTGCCAAGAAGAAATAATGGATAAGTTAAGTTGGATTTTGCCATCCAGTCTTCAGCATTACCATGTAAAAATTCTGTCTGCTAGCATGCATGCTAATACACCGATCTTTAGGAGGCTGGCACTTACCATGGTGATCTTGTGTTTAGAGCTGTGACCGCCAAACTGCAAGCTGGGTGTGCTTGCCTTTTACCTGGCTCTTTTAGCACTGTTCCTCCCACTGATGCCAAATATGAGGCACTATTTTCCCCACTGACACCAATGATAGGGCACAGTTCATTTTACTGACACCAATGATGGGACACCAATTCCTCTCACTGACACCAGCAATTTGAAAAATTCCTACCCTTGACACCAACAATGAGGCACCATTCTTTCCACTCACACACGTGATGGAGCACTATTCCTTCCACTGAGACCAAAAAATTAGAAATTATTACTGACACCAACAATGGGGGACTATTGCTCCCAATGACACCAATAATGAGGCACTATTCATCCCACTGACACCAAGGGTGCATTATTCCCTCCACTGACATAAGCAATGGGGCAAAATTCCTTCCTCTGAGAGCAAAAATGGAGCACTATTCCGCTGATAATTTGATAAAACAAATGATGGGACACTATTCTTCCCACTGACCTCAATGATGGGGCACAATTCCTCTCACTGACACCAATGATGGGACATAGTTTCCACCCACTGAGACCAATGATGGGACACAGTTTCAACCTTTGGCACAAATGATGATGGACTACTACTTCCACACACACAAGCAATTGAGCACTATTATTTTGGTCTCTACTGAGACCAAAAATTTTAAAATAATAATGACACAAAAATGGGGCATTATACGTCCCACTGACACCAAGGATGAGGCTCAATTCATTCCAAGGACACCAATGATGGGGCATTATTCCCTCCACTGACATAAGTGATGGTGCAAAATTCCTCCCACTGACACCAATGATGGGACACTATTCCTCCCACTGATGTCATTGATGAGGCAAAATT